GGAGTTCTAGTCCCTCCTTAGTCACAAAAGTCAGCTAGGTGATGTTGTAGGGAAAGCAGGAGGAGGAAGATGGGTTGCATATATTCACTGCCTTGGGTGGGGTGTAAAAAATAATAAAGGTGGGATAACAAACAAAAAAAACTAAAGTTTTCCCGTTAATCAGTTAATCTTCTTTTATTGGTTTTAATTCCCAATGTTGCCTTTTTCTTCCTTGCAGGTTGAGCATCGTTTTCTGCCTCTTCCACCACCTGTTTACTACTGGCCATAAATCGATTTTCCGCATCAGAATTCACACATCGCCTTTTCTCTGCTTTTCGCTCCTTTTTAATGCTGGGACCAACCTGGATGTCAATCACCGAACACTTCTGGACAAGCATAGTTGACTTGGCTGAATAAAACACCTCCAACAACTTCCGGACTCTCTCTCACTTTATTTATCCTGCTTGTTCCGCTGCACAAGCTGATGAGAATCCCAAAACAGGAAAATACAAATATTCAGATCTGTGAATGACATGGAAGCCAAACAAACCATGATAAAGGCCCAGTGAATGTGGCAAATGGCAAAACAAGCCAGGAACAGCAGCTTGATTGCAGAATTGTGGGTCTGTTGATCACCGTTGCTATCTATTTTGAAAGCTAAGGGATTTCGCTTGGGCTACAGAGTGACATATGCAAAATAGATTGCAGATTAACAGAGCTGGAAGGGACCTTGTAGGTCATCTAGTCCAACCCCCCGCCCAAGTTGGAGACCCTACACCATTTCTGACAAATGGCAGCCCAATCTCAACTTGAAAGCCTCCAGTGATGAAGCTCCCACAAATATCTGAAATTCATTCAGAATTTGGAATAGAATAGAGCTGGAAGGGACTTTGAAGGTCTTCTAGTCCAACCTTGGAGGTCTTCTGGTCCAACCCCTGGCTCAAGCAGTATCTTACAAACATACATTATCAATTATGTTACAATTGCAAATTGTAGCAAATTGTAATTTGTTATGTTACAAACACTCAAACATTACCTATGCTCTTTACATGCTAAGTGTGATGACCCGGGGTGGTTGCACAAAAATAACAAAGTCACCAAAGTAGATAAATTCCCTTTAATGCCTCCAACTTGGCCCCTGATGTCCAGTTATCCTCGGCTGGAGATCAAAGTCTTCCGAAAAACAGTCTACGAAGGGAAGAAATGCAATCCGAACCCAAAGTAAAGATAATTAGAAATAAAAACAACAACACAAACCACACTGAAGTAATTAACACGACAGGCCAGAATGATAAATTGCAGACTCCCAAAAGATAACGCAGCACCCACAGTTGGGAGGGACTGCCAAAACCTAGATAAGCCTCCACCAAGAAAATGCACACTTTGCTTCCAGCAACTTTGCCATGCGCAGTTTGCCCTTTTAAACAGTCTTCCCAGCTGCAGCCCATGAAGGGGATCAGGGCCCTTTCCCCTCCTGTAAGACATGTTGCTCCCTTCTCCGTTCCTCCTTGTGTGCCCTAGGATGCAGAGGGGGGTGGGCCTGGGTTTTCCTCTGAATGCCCAGCCGGACTGTGCCCTTCCCCAGTTTCCTCCACAGCCACCGGAGCCACACTCCCACTCCCTGTCAGCTGCTCCACCTCCCCTCAGAATCCGAACTCCAACAAGGGCATGACACGAAGCTTTGATCCATTGAAATAGGCGATCCATTAAAACACCTTGAGGTGTTTTTTTTTTGTTTGTTTGCAAAAGACAAGCAAATAAACCAACAAACGAACTGTATTTTGTTCTCCCAGTAAATGATAATTGTTGGGAGGGGGGAAAAAAATCAGAGAAGCCACCTCTCTTTTTTTAATACCCTCCCCGTCTCAAACTTTTAGGGTAGCTAAAGCAACATGGCCATAAATCACCAAAAGAACGAAACCCGTCTTTTCAAATGGTAATTTTATTTCATTTCATGATGTGTGCATTTTTCCTCGGCTTCCTATCTTGGAAGGCGGGATGGGAAAATTGTGCTACAAAAAATAATAATAATAATAATAATAATAATAGAGTAATAATTCCACTCTCAAATCCAAATGCAAGGTGTTCCTTTTCCCTGATTGGGAGGAGTCCCAAGAGGCCGTTGTATAAAAACAATCAGGAAAAATGGAGCGTTGTATCTAACTGAATCCCAATCTTTCGGACTGGACTCGTTTTACCCTGAAATTCTCAGGAGAAAAACAAAATGGAAAAGCTTTAAGGTATTACGGGGAAGGGAACGACAAGAGAGACCAAATTCTCAACAGGAATCCAACTGGTAGATCCTCAGCGACCAACTTCTACAATGTGTGTCTTCGATTCTGCTGATGGAGAGGTGGAGGCCGCCGATTTGAGACGCGCTGAGAAATTTTCCTTCAGTTCAAAATATCCAGCTGTCCGCGAAGTTCATGATTCAAGATCCGGGCAACTGGCGATAGAAACAAGGAATTACTTTCAGGAATCATTTCTATAGTATCCAACTAAAGAAATGCACTCAAACACTGAAGGCTTTCTCCCCCCCCCTTTTTTTTCCATAATTTTTTTATTTTATGTTACAACAAATCCATCTTTATTGACTGGGTCCATATATCTTGTGCTGACAATTATAATTAATACTTTCTTACCAATATAAGAATCATCACATTTCCTTTATAAGCCATTATCTCTTGCGTCTATTATCTTTTTAACCACCTGAACTTATTTCTCTGTGTATTCATTGACTCAATTTTAACTTGCTTTCATTTCCAACCATTGATAAAATAAACCCCATGCCGTATAATATTCAATTTCTTTTTTTTTCTATAATTGCCAGTGTTAATCTATTCACCTCTGCACATTCTAATGCTTTTCTCAATCACTTTTCCCTCTCTGTCGGAATTTTTTTTCCCGCTTTTCCAATTCTGAACAAATATAATTCTAGCTGCAGTTAATACCTGGATAATTGAATATATGTTTGCTTTGCTATAGCATTCAGGTACCATCCCTAATAGAAATATTTCAGGTTTCAAGTCTATGTTGCTTTATCATTTTTTCCCCCAACCACATGTGTACTATAAAGCCTTAGTAAGACCACACCTAGAGTACTGCATCCAGTTTTGGTCCCCACACTATAAAAAAGATGTTGAGACTCTAGAAAGAGTGCAGAGAAGAGCAACCAAGATGATGAGGGGACTGGAGACTCAAACATACGACAGACGGTTGCAGGAACTGGGCCTGGCTGGTCTAGGGAAGAGAAGGACCAGGGGAGACAGGAGAGCATCTTCCAATATTTGAGGGGCTGCCCCAGAGAGGAGGAAGGGGGTCAAGCTATTCTCCAAGGCACCCAAAGGCCAGACAAGGAATCATGGATGGAAACTGAACAAGGAGAGATTCAACCTGGAAATAAGGAGGAATTTCCTGACAGTGAGAACAATCAACCCATGGAACAGAAGTTGCCCTCGGAAGTTGTGGGAGTTTCATCCCTGGAGGATTTCAAGAAGAGACTGGTCAGAAATGGTGTAGGTCTCCTGCTTGAGCAGGGGGTTGGACTAGATGATCTACAAGGTCCCTTCCAATGCTGATTATCTGTTACTTCAACAATAACTGTGAGAGGGAAGGGAACTTGTCATCTCTGCTACAGCTTACTACAGGCCCTCTGGGTTTCCTTTGGCTTAATTTTGGGGGGAAGGCCATGTTACCTTTTCTCTGTTCCCCAGAAAAGCTGTTCATCTTCTGCAGATCATGGTTATTCTGTCAAACCACCTCTCCAGCAGGTTCTCTGAAGTAGACTCCTGAAAAGTCACATTCTCCACGATCTCGGAGGCCACCAAGCAAATGTTGGAAGGTTTTGTTTCCACGGTTGCAAGGTTCATCACTAGGAGTGGGAGGAAAGAGGAGGAAGAAGAGGAGGAGGAGGACAAAGTGGTGGAAGAGAAGGAGAAAGAGGACAAGGAGAAAGGGAAGGAGGGGGAAAAGAAAGAGAAGGGGAAAGCGAAGGAGGAGAAAGGAGAAAGGAGCAGAGGAAAGGGAAGAGGGGGGAAAGGAGAAGGAGAAAGAGAAGGGGAAAAGGAGAAGAAAAAGGAGGAGAAAGAAAGAGAAGAAGGAAAAGGGGATAGAGAAGGAGAAAGGAAAGGAAAAGGAGAATGAAAAAGAGAAGAAGGGGAAAGAGAAGGAGAAAGAAAAGAAGGAAAAAGAGGAAGAGAAGGAGCAAGGGAAAGGGAAAGAGAAGGAGAAAGAAGGGAAGGGGAAAGAGGAGAAGACGGAGAAGGGGAAGGGGAAAGAGAAGGAGGAGGAGGAAGAGAAGGAGAAGAAGAAATAGAAGAAGAGGAAGAGGAGGAAAAAGGGGAGGAAGTTATCTACCATTAATATCCACGAAGAAGGAGGATTTAAATATTACCTCCGTTCACCAGCAAATTGCTGGCACCTGACTTCACCTGATCTCAAAAGGCTAATTAGAGACACATCAGGACATCCCAGGACTGACACCTAAGTTGACCAGCCAACCATAAAGCCCCGTGAGACCTCTTTGCCCCCCTCTCCATCCACTGACCTTCAGAAAGAAGCCATAATCCCACAACGCGGCCACGGGGATGCTCATCCCTGTTACCTTTTTGGGGGGGGCTCACCTGTAGCAATGGCGTTGACCGTCGATTTGTGATTTGTCTCCTGGGAAATGATCTCTGAAAAAGAAACACCCAGGATGTTGCTGACCACCAAGACTGGTCACTCTGCGAAGGCCAAGCCAGGTTGTCTAAACGAAGGTGGATATTAGACCCATATCTGTCAACCCATAAGCCACTTTACGACGGACAGACTTCAACTCCCAGAATTCCCCAGCCAGCTTCTGTTGAATTGGGGTATTCTGGGAGTTGAAGTCCACGCCTCATAAAATTGCTGAAGTTGGCAATCCCTTCTTTAAAACAGTTCAGAGGAGGAAAATAATCATTGCTGGATTTCTTCCAGGTTGGATTAAAAGTTGGGTCAGCAAACTTACAGCGCCAGGGGCCACTCTCCCAAAATGGCTGCCCCGCAGAAGGACACCAATTCCAAGACAAGAACAGATAAACAGAGTTGGAAGGGACTGTGATGACCCAAAGGGGCGTGGCACAAAAATAACGAAGTCACAAAAATAGGTAAAGTCCCTTTAACACCTCCAACTTGCCCCCCAGTGTCCAATTATCCTCGGCTGGAGATCAAACTCTTCCAAAAAGAGTCTACGAAGGGCAGAAACGCAGTCCGAATCCAAA